GTACAGCAGAGAAAAAGTTAATATCTTGAAAAATCGCAAACGCCTCTTCCCAGATCATGTTTTGAATTTATCCATATTTCCCCCCATATTTTGTCCCGAAATGAGGATCGAGGGTGCGAGATCGCCTATGTAAATTCGAGGGCTCTCTGTGCAACTGCCTTGAATCCCCACCCCATCCCCCCGCGCGCCGCCTTTCAGCTGAAAGCGTCTTCTCTCTCCAGCCATTGCCCACATCAAGAAGTATCTCTGGAACACCCTTCCAAAGTGTTTGCCAACTCCGGAGGGAAGATTAAAACTGGCAGAAGACTGCAGTCGGAAGCACTCCAGCCCCTGAAATACTCGCCGGATAGAGCGAGAAGCCGCACAGCCAGATCCCGCTGCGCCAAGTGCCCGGCTCAAAACTCCTTTCGCTTGGTTTCTGAGCCCCGCCCCCCTTCCGCGCAAAACTCATATGTAAAGATGGTGGGGGTGGGGGCGGGGGCGAGAGAAAGCGAGAGCGCCTACACAGGCGCGCGCGCGCACCCGGTGCGCAGGCAGCCGCCTCTAGACCCGCTGCCAAACCCCACCCTCCGTAATGCTTTGGGGGATTAGCCACTGATGCGTGCCTGCAGACCACCTGGGAAATCTGGGACTCCCTAAAGAAAGGCGAACTGCCCACCTTTAATCCCGAAGGGAAGGTGAGCTTTCCCACCCCGTCTCTTGGCCGCTTTGGGAACCCGTCCACCTGCACCTGCGCTGGTTGGAGGACTTCTGGCGAAGAGCCAGAGTTTGCTTTCGGTTGCATCTCCGCGATATCTGGTCTATCAAGTCTATACATCCCAGAACTGCTCTGCCAGCAGCCCGACTGTGGTGGCATCGCCTACTCAGAAAAGCGAAAAGCGAACGATATGCAAAACAGATTGCCGGACTTCCTGCGCTGTATTGGAAGCAACCGTCCACGAACCGGAGTTATTCATCTCGGACCACAACTCTCTCCCTTCCTCCCCAATAATGCCTCGATCCGGGCTGCCCCTTTTGCCACAGAAGCCTGGAGAAACAAAACTCCTTTCCTCTCGCGCTTCAAGCCCTTTCCAACTACTGGAGCGTTTGCAAAAGCAAAACTCTTAAACTGCAGTCCGACTGCATGCCAAGACAACCATTATGCACCCAGTTTCCACAATCGATCTTTCTCTGCTGGACACCGTGCGGACGGCGCTGGAAGCCAAGCCGGACGCCACGCACAGGACTCTGTCAAGCACAATCACCCCCTCCGGAATTCCTGAAAACCTTGCCAATTCCAGCAGCCAAGAATCCGGGAGAAACTGCAAGCACTAATCCGTACCGTCTTAAAGCCCATAACTCTTGTGGGCTTTTCTCCGTCACCATCAATAAATAAAGTAGAACGCAAATATATTTTTCTTATTAATTTCCGAGCAAGAGATTTGTGTGTGTTGCACAAAAAAATGAGGATACTGGAAAGAAAAGAAGGAGGGAGACGAGATCAGCTGGGAGTCCGGAGACACCAGCGTCAGTCTGGCAGCAAGCATCGGAAAGGCGCCCTTTTTCATATTTAAACCACGCGGAATATGTACATTTTTGATTCCTACTTACGCTTTCAGGGGGTTGTGAATGACAGTCGCCATTTTGCTACAATGTAACAGAATATTGTGTCTCAGAGTTCTAAAGGTTCGCTCAGGGGAAGCGGTTGGCCAATCGGGAAAGTGGATACCGGCCCGCTGTCCAATCAAGGAATGCAGGAGGAGCCAGGGTTCTGCTAGTTATTAGGGGAGCTGTCAAAGCCCAGAGGTCACTCCCTTTCTGTGCAACTGTTAAGAGAGCAGGTCTTAAAGAGACAGCAACATAGCAAAGGGGCAATCGTCACTGAAATTTCGGAGGGTTAAAGACTTTCTATAGTCATCTGGGTCTTTGTTTTTGCTTCTCAAACGAAGCATAGAGACGGCAAAAAAATCCAGACTTCGCTCCTGGTCCGCTTGTATTTCTGTGACGGGTTCTGGTCCCAAATAGCATGCCCTCGCTCTTATCCCTATACAAGAAATGGGTTCACACCACTTCAGCAGGAAAAACAACAACAACATCAACAACAACGAATTGTCCTTCTGCACACCCAGGCAACCTGTTTAGGCAGCATATTTTAATTACCCCCATTTTGTTCCTTTGATCTACAGCCACTTTGTCTTTAGGTTTCTTGGAACTGTTTGTAATCAGTGACTTTAGGGCAGCACCCTTCCCCCTCCATGAGGAATTTCTGACAGTCATCCAGACTCTGCAGCCCATGCACTAGTTATATAATGCACGGTGGCCAAACTGACCGCCTGTTTGTTTCACTCAAAGCAAGTTTATGAAGTGATCGTCTTGTTTAGCATGTTGAGACTTGACCTGTCTGATCTTTTGACATGAGGGAGGGAGGGAGGGAGGGAAGGAAGGAAGGGGAAGGAGCATTAAGTACGCATCTTTTTTTTAACTGCAAGAAAAAGGAGTGGAGACGTGACCCCATTTCTGGGAAAATCACCAAAACTCTGAGGCATCTGAGTTTACCTATAGCTAATTATACCAGTCTGCAAATGAATTATCCAGTAGAAGGGAAAAGATTTTTAATGTGCCAAGACTGCAATCAAACTGATTTGAGACTAAACATATTTAGGCTGCAACCCTATGCAACACTTTATTGGGAGTAAATCCCCTTAAACTCAGTGAGATTTATTATTGAAAGGTAACTTATTGCAATCATATACTAACTTATGAGGAGATGGCTAGATGAATATAACACGATTTGCCTCTAAGTAACCATTCCAATAATTGCATCATTAAGAACACATATAAGTAAACCTGCCTCCATCACCACCCCCCCTTGCTCCATTCTAAATACGTATGTATCACAGGAAGCTATATTGTAACAAATCAGTTCATTGGTCCACTTAGCTCAGTGCTGAATACTCTGACTGGCAGTTGCTCTCCTATGCTGCAACCTGTGACAGAGCCTATTCTTTGCACAGAGAGGTTTCCAGGTCAGCCTTCCTAGGTAAAACTGCTGGATATTTCACTGTTCCACAAGCATGTGACTGAGTACTCAACTCTGGATTTGCAGACCAGATAAAGATCTCTATGCCTCTGAAGAGCTTCAAGGTTTCAGATAAAACACCGATTCTGTCACTTACTCCCAGGGATGTGTGTGTGGAGAGAAAGTGTGTGTATTCTAGAATATACTGTCACTTCATTTGGGCCACAGAAACCAAAGAGATCAATCCAGCTGAAAAATAACCCATGATAAACTGTGTGTGCCTCTAAAGAATAATGACTTGGCCAGAACCATCAGAGGCCTACCTTGTAAGATAGTGGATACTGAGGAGGAAGGGAGGTCACTGATGGTTGCTCCCCAACCATTTGCCCAGAGTCCTCCTCTGTATGCCATGTACTCTGTTTAGTGCTCCCTAAACCAGACACTGCCCTCAAGTATGGAGAATGGATGTTGTTCCATCAGCAGCACTGAAGCAAGATCCTACTGCTAGTGCAGCTAGCCTCTGGGCATGGTTTGTATAATGGGAGAGATCTCTTTGTTTCAAGCAACAAAATATCCTGGCTACCCCTACCAACTCCCACAGCTATCGGTACTGGCAATGAAGCTGCTGCGGAGCAAGTCTACTTCAACCCCTTGCTCAGGGCAGGAATCCACTAAGCCATCCAGGGAGCTTCCAGCTCTAATTTGAAAACATTGAGGTCATGGTGGATTGTTCCATTGATAAGCTGTTTTTACCATCAGGAAATTTTTCATTATGTTCACCCTGAATGTTCTTCTTTTTTTAATTTCAACCCATTCGTCCTTATACTGTTCTCGATCTCGATAGAGAATAGGTCTGCCCCCTCTTGCACATGACAGTCTTTGAGATATTTATAGACATCTATCACATCTCCCCATAGTCCTCTCTTTTGCAAATTAAACATGCCCAGCAGCTTTAACCATTCCTCATAGGGCTTGGATTTTAAACCCCTTTATCATCCTGGCAGCTCTCTTTTGACTCCACTCCAGCTTCTCCATGTCATTTTAAAGTACAGTACAAGTGTGGCCTAATTGGCACAACGGCACTGTTGCCTTCTATTATTTGGATCCTATAGTTCTTTTAATGCATCCCAAGACTTCACTGGTCACCTGAGTTTCTACTTGCTTATGTTTGGTTGGTGGCCTGCTAGTGTACTTAGACCCTTTTCACATGCCTCCAGCGCAGTATCTGTGCATCTGATTTTTCTTACTCAGATCCAGGGCTTTATACTTGTCACAGCTGATCATCCTTGTGAGGAATCTGGCCCATGTTTGGAGTCTGTCAGGTTAATTTTTTATTGAATTTTGCCCTTTAATCCCCTTAGTTAGGTATCATCTGCAAATCTGATAAGCATTTCTTCCATTTCATCCTCTGTGGCAGAGGATGGCCATTTTCAAAAATGTCGGTAGCACTAGACTGAGAACAGAGCCCGGAGAACACCACATGAGTTTCCCTCCAGAACAACACAGAATTGTTACCCTTTGGATATGGATGTTCTATCAACTGGAAATCCACCAGACCACACTGCCATCTAGCCCACATTCATCTTGTCCATGTTGATAAATGCTTTACTGAGATCAAGGAACAATATCCTATACCATTCCCTTGGTCTACCAAACTAATCATTCTTCCACAGTCTGACATGATCTGTTCTGGACACATTCATGTGGGCTCCTGGTAATAATAGCATGCTTTCCTAGCAGCTCACAGACAAGCTTTCCAAGCAGCTCACAGACAAGACAACATTTTTTTTAGATTTTTTTTTATCCCACCTTTATTATTTTTATAAATAATTCAAGGTGGCAAACATACCTAATATTCCTTCCTCCTCCTATTTTCCCCACACAACAACACTGTGAGGTGAGTTGGGCTGAGAGAGAGTGACTGGCCCAAAGTCACCCAGCCGGTTTTTCATGCCTAAGGCGGGACTAGAACTCACCGACTCCTGGTTTCTAGGCCAACACCTTAACCGCTACACCAGACTTCCACATCCTCTTTCCTTATATCCACCCTCCATTTGTTCTACTGAGAATTAATATATTTCCTAATATTGTTTCATAGAAAATTCATACTTTGTCTTCCTGCAGTCATTTTACTTTAGTTTCTTTCACTTTCCATTTTTTCCTTGTCCATTTTTCCTAAACTCCATTCTTGAAAATACCAAATAATGGTATGTCCCATATTCAGAACTTCACATTACCCTTGTATGATTCTCTCAGACATTCGCTGATTCTCTCAGACATTTATCACAAACACTCAATTATACTTTTAGATTTATTCGTTTGCCATCTACTAACATAAATAGAGAAGTTAAAACTACATATCTGAGATGGGTTTTTTTAACTGATACTCATCAGTCATTATTCTCATTCAGTCTTCAGTCTTCAAATGGCCCGGCCATTTTCTGTACCTTCTTGTCTTGTTTCCACCCATCCATCCATTCATGTCATTTAGAAGAATAATTTTTCTCCTGAACTGAATCCTTTCAAAAAGTTGCACAGTTTCCCCCCAAATCTGGCTCTTTCATTAACACCATTCACTGGATCATTACATAATGTGGTAGCCAAAAACTCACCTTAAGAAATAAGTCAATAAGTGATTGAAGAGGTCCAAGCTGGTTTCTTGATTAAGCCAGCAAAGTTACAGTGATGACTGGTCTCCCAGCCAGCAAAAGCTAAGAGTGCAGAGACTGATCAGAGCAGATTGTACGTAAGGTTCACAGAGAATTGAAAGGGTGCAAGCACCGTTGATCTTGTTATGGGAAACAGTTTACAAGTAATAAGAAATGCTGGGAATTCTGGGCGTCCTCCAGTCTGGTGCAGCAACATTCTGTAGTGCTAAGCACTTAGTTTAACAATAACACCGATGCCATGCTCATTGCCCTTTGTTGCTATTTTAACAGTTTGACCCTCATCCCACCTCAGACGGGGAAGCTGTAAAGGCATTTCTTATCTGCATCCTTGAAGAGATTGCAGTTGTAGAGGCACACAGTTTCTAAATCAAAACCATTTATGATTCAAGGAGGACATGACAAAGGGAACCGGTTTGAAATGTACAGAAATAGCTGCAACAGTTAAGGCTGTTGTGGCTGGCCTTGTATTAACAGGGGCAGAAGACAGGAAATTTTAAAAATTCAGAGGCTCAACTAATACAAGTTAGTAAACTAATACTAATAAGTGCATAGAAACGTAGGATCACTTATATGGACTAACTTATAAAATCACCTAGGCTCATCTTTGCCTCCCCAATATAACTGTTACCATCCCATGGATTCCTGCTTTCATATGCACCCCCAACACTCTAAATGACACCGCTTCATCTCTTCTAGCATGCATTTTAGCCCTACATCTCCAACTCTTTTCATGTGTTCAGAATTGTCATTCCATTATTTCATTCCCTTCAAGACTCAAATTAACCCAGTGAGACCCTAATCTTAATACGAAAAGATCATAATGGTATTGCTAGGAAAGTCTCTCTGGAAGGCTATACTGTACCAGGACTTGAATACATTTACTGCTGCTACCATCATGAAGAAGCCTTCTCTAGGGAGCCACAGTCTCCCTTCACTTGATGGGGGAACAAAGCCAGTTGGATACATTGTTGATTAGAGCAGCAGATAAGCCTTAGTATGTA